AATAACAGGCTATGATAAGCATAAATTCTTTCACTTATAAGCATAAGTAAACGAAAAACCCTAGCAACAGCAAAAATAGGTCACCTTTCTCAGCTTCTAGGAGTAGGAAGTTAAATAAGGGATCGCGGCAGCAAAAAGAAAAACAGAGGAAAAAAGAATGGGAGAAAAACATTGCCTCATCACTCGGCGATTAGCTGATAGTGCGTGGGTCCTAGAACGAATAATAGCAATCTGTATTGTCTCGACACTTGTCTGACGTGAATCGATCGAGAGGCGGGAAAGCCAGTGACGTTCCCGCCCATTGAATTATCGTGAGCCGAAGTATTATACTTTTATAATACTAAAACTGATACTACTTCTAATAATAATAATGATAATAAAGTGGTATCTGTCCTAAGACAAGTTCTTCCACCTTTTAGCGCGGTATGGCTCAATGTGAAATGCAGAGATTCGTTAGGGAATGCCTCCATCCGGATGGAGTCCTGTTGTTGCAATTCGTTCGTGAGCACGTCGGTGGTCGAGTTGCATACGATCTTGTCAACAAAATTTTTGAGCAATTTGCGGAAAATGATGTGAGTTAATCAAGGAATGAAAGTGTATATTGAACGGTCTGAATAGTGTTGAAAGAATTCAGAATTCATCAAATAACTCGATGAAGAAGCAACCTCCTTCACCAATTGAGAAATACTCGCGGCCTCCCCACTTCCTCGGCTTCCCACAACGGCATTCCTCGAATCAGGTATTTATACTTGTACACTGAACACTTATTACAAAGCAGTACCGTTGACTACTAATAAGTATTTAGGGTTACTTCCCTGCACTAAGCTCTGCTCCAATGCTTGAGGACTACATGGATCATGGCACGATGAGAATTGGAGAAAAAGGCGATAATCAGGCTGATCACTCGTCACGACGTAGTCCAACCGACGTCTGAGAGGTCAAGACATCTCAGCTAGCAGATTTTCATCATTTTCATTGTTAAATTCGCACTGGTAGTTCTTAATTTATGGCAGGTC